CACGATTTCAACACAAGTAAGTCTTTAATTAATATAAAATGTGTTTCACCCATTTGCATCATAAACTCAGATATGCGCGCATTTTTCTGGCCATTATCACCGAAGCTACAATATATACACACGCTTTAAATAGGGAGCGAAATTGATAATTATTACTACTTTTAGTATAATTAATGTACAATGTGTTAATTATGGTACCCGACGTCATCGTTGCAAGTATGCAACCATTCAAGCATCCATTGGTATTGCAATACGAATACTGTGATATTGGTTGCATACTTGCAATGATGACGTCGAGTACGATAATTAATTAACACACTGTACCCTATAACCTTCTATAAAAACAACTTCGAAGTGTTCAAACTATATAACAACTTGGCGCTGAGTAACAACTAAAACTAGAATTAACATTCACACTATTACTAGAAACATTTGGGTTTACCCGTCTTGAAAGACGTACGGCTAAAAACGAATGATTCTAGTTCAAGGTTAAGTGTTAGTTCTAGTTTTAGTTATTGCTCAACATCAGGTTGTATATTTTTATTGAACGAAAACTAGAATGAACCTTATTCTGTAATTGCTGGAAGATATAGAAACTGGTGCTCATCCCCAAGAAGAAGGGCGATCACCTAAATCCCTCGACATGTCGGCTATTATCTGTTGCTCGACACAGCCGGGAAGCTATTGGAAAAGCTGCTGAGAAACAGATTAGAAAATGTGTTTAGGATGTCAGTGGTTTGTCGGACAAGCAGTATCAGTAGAGGAAAATCAACCGTTGGCGCTGTGGCAGAAGTACTGCGAGCTTTTACTAAGGCCAAACAGATAAATCATCACCCTAAACCGATTGTCATCTTGCTCACAGAAAATGACAGAAACGCGAGCTAGGACAACATCTTCGCTCAATGGAAAATTATCTTGTACCCAAATACTTGCAGCGGATGGATGGTCATCAACTATTTTATGAATAGGATGCTGACTCCCTGCACATCTGAGGGTTCTAGGTGTTCTTAGGTCAAAAATATGGAACGTTTTCTAGTTCTTCGTATGAAAATGCTTGGCAGGACATTTCTGGTGGGCCATGCTGATGATCCAGGCACGGGACACATCAATGAAGCACAAATAAGGATTAACATGGTAATTGTCATCCTGATGCTGGACCGTGGGCTGTCCTTGGCGGCAGATAAAACGGAGATTCTGTCACTCACTAATACCGTTGGAAATCACCTATAATATCATGAAAACCGCAATTACCAGCGGCGGTGGTCAAGTATCTCGGATTGTCTCTGGACAGCAAATGTACGTTTCGAAATCACATAAACACGGTTTGCGCTAAAGGGGGAAAGATCATTACCATGCTTAGCCACATAATGGCAAATGTAGGAAGCCAACTCAGAGCAGGCGCAAACTACTGATGAAGGTATCAACTTTTATAACACCAGGCAACTTTTGACAGGTAATTGCTACTTCTAAAACTACGTTGACGTTGGATCGATAATACCGAAAACTAAAGTGGGGCGTATGATTTCTGAGGAGAGGTACTGGTCAAAAATAAGTGCTTTTGTGACCCATATACTGGGCCAGAAGAAAAAAGAAATGGATTCACTTGGCAGGTAGTTTAAAATGTAGCTACAAGACACCGGAGGGTACCTCTACGGGTCCAACAGCTTTTTCCGCCTCCCTGTAAATGCAGACTTTTTATAATGAATTAAAACGTTAATCTTTTTTATTTTTATGGGATTTCAAACTTAACCGAAGGAGAGAGGATACCTGTTGGGTCAATAATACTTGCTTACTCAACAGAAAGCTGGAAGAAGATACCCCTATGGGTGCAAGAACCCCCTCCGCCTTCTGTAAGGTGTTCTCATAATGAATTAAGAATGTTATTTTTTTATTTCTATCTGATTTTAAACCAACCTAAATGAGGCACGATACCTGCTGGGTCGGAAATACCTACCTACTCAACAGATGGATGGATAATGGTGTCGGAATTTGAAGGAGAGATGATGCTGGATGTATAACATCCGACAAGTCTATGTGTTTCTGGATAGCAAACTGATAGTCCCAGGCTGCCGTCCTATCTGACCGAATGCAGGCTGGACTGAGAATAATCGAATGCTAGTGTCGAGACAATTCTCTGTCGGTAAACCGGAAAAAACAGAGATGGTCCTCTTCACAAGGAAAAGAAGGCTGGGTACCTTTAGAGCGCCCTGACTTTGCAAAGTTCCCTTGCGCTTTGCCAATGAAGTGAAGTATCTGGGGTTAACCCTGGATAAAACGCTGACTTGGAGACCGCACTTCGAAGGTAAGATAAATGGCACGCATTGCGTTCGCTCAGTGCAGAAGGGCCGTTGGGACCTCCTGGGGTTTAACACCCAAAATATCCCTGTGGATATACACTGCAATGATACGTCCAGAAATAAAACGATTGTTTTGCAACTACAAAAATTGCAACGTCTGGCTTGTCTGTACGTTACTGGCTCGATGATAACCACACCAACAGCAGCAATGGAGAATGTACTGTGCCTTCCTCCTCTCAATTATCACGTTGAGGAGGTGGTGACAGCAATAATGATCCGGCTGCGAGCGGCTAACGATAAATGGCTTTATAAATGTGGAAAATCGACTAGCCAGCTATGAGAGGAGGCATGTAGCAAACTGCCGCTCCTGAATGGCAGGGTAGATACGATTCCAACGCGTTTTATGTTCGACCGTATGAAATAAAGGTAGGAGAACAATCTATGCCTGACGAAACTGTCCTCCAATTATGGGTGGACGGGTCTCGTAGGGAAACTGGCTGTGGTGCTTCGGTTTATTAAGCGGACCTGGTAGCCATTTCTCTGGCCGCTGAGGAAATTTCCAAGAAAATTAGTAACAATAAAATTATAATATATTTTGATTGCAGACAAGCCCTCCTCTCGCTCGGGCGGTATCGCTGTTCATCCTCGTTGCTTCAGGACTGCCATAACAATCTTTGTGAGACAGCCGCTCGCAATGAGATTACGATCTGCTAGACAAAGGGTCATTCAGGAAATAAGCTTCATAACATGGTGGACAAACTGGCAAGGAAAGCTGCAGGAGAACCTCCGGGGTCGCCAGAACCATTCATCGCCCCAACAATAAGGTCTTTAATAGAGCTTCAAAAAGAGAAATACGTAAGAAGTTTCTAACTTACTGGGACAGGACACCAGGATGTCGCCAAGCCAAGGAGGCTCTGATGTACCCTGACCCTAAACGAACAGATTTATTTATGAGGTTGTCCAGGAAGAACCTATGTTTGGTCATTAGTCTAATCACTGGACACTGGCATCTACAGAAGCACTTACTGAACATGGGAATAAGTGACACCGACATCTGCAGAGGATGCGGTGAGGAGAAGGAATCGGCGGAACACATTCTATGCGACTGCGTGGCCCTCCAAACATTAAGATTATCCATTTTTGAAGATATCCAGATTCTCATGAGTGGAATCAGGGCAGCACAACTTGGACAAATTCTAGCCTTTGCCTCCAAGGTGATATGGCTGGAAGGACCCTAATGCTGACCGAAAGAGGGAAGTAAGTACAAGGGATCTGCTGAGGTCAAAGTGCGGTGCAGCCTACCTTAACGCGAATCCAGAATCCAAGCTGCCGACAGCGGTAGACACCATCAGTACGTCCCTAGGTGCTAACAGTAAGCCGGCGTGCGTAAATGCATTTTCCTCTCTTCCTCGTTCTAGTTTTCGTTAAATAAAAATATACAACAACCTCGCACTGAATAAGAACTAAAACTTATATTTGCACTAGAACTACCACTAAATCTAGAACTAGAAATATTCGGGTTTAACCGTGAGTCTCTCAAGATGGATACACCCGAATATTTCTATTTTTGTCTTCCTAGTACCCAAAACATCCATGAAAGGTAACTGTTTAGCAGCTTCCATTTCCATGGTAGATTTGACCATAGGTGTTGCGAGTTCAGGTGGTCTATTAACTCATTTCCTCCAGAAACGCTCTTTCCCATGCTGCCGCCAGATCACAAAGGTGTTATCTATGTAACGAAACAATAACCTTAGTTTCCACGGACTGTTTCTTAACCCTTCATTTTCAAACATCTCCATGTAGAATTTAGCAATTACCGTTGATAAAAGTGATCCCATGACTGCTGCATTGCTCCTAAAATTCTACCTTTTAGCCAAAATATGTTGATGATAAACAGTACTCCACTAGCCATGGAATATACTTCGTAAACCCCCTCCGGAATGAGTTTCTGGCGAAGACCATAAATGGTATCTTTGTCTGGTAATCTAGAAAATGGAGGTTCCACATCGAAATTTAGCAGGATATCCTGAGGATTTAACTTCATAATTTTGATTAAATCTACAAAATGCGTAGAATCTCTGACATATTTTTTTGTTTTACTTGTAAAATCTAGTGTTTGTTGGCCTGTACAAACAAATTTCTTTGTTATTCTGTTTCCCTTTGTCTATTAGTAGAACAACGATGTCTATTTTTTCTCTGATCGTCCGTAAATCTATTATACTTATAATTCATTCACTTGTATATCATAAAAAAGGTTTGGTGATATGGGCCACTTTGTCATTCACTTCTAAATGATACAAATGGGTTAATATTAATCTTTTTGTAGTGTGCTAAAACAGTAACTTATATACATGATATCTGGAATAATTTTGCGAGTAGAAATGAAATTAACGATCAAGCTAAACACCTCCAATTAATTTCGCTTCAATTATACAACAACAAATTAAAATTCACAGCTTACGGCCTTTTCGCTTTAGATTGGACGTTATTACAAAGAGTATTGATCAAATCCATCAATATCTATACCGTTATTTAATAATTAATTATTTAAGATTATCGCATCTGTAACAACTTATGTTATAATCCTGATTCAATTTGAATTATCTTCATTTTCAAGAAAGTCATCAGAAAGCGCCAAAAACTCATCTTTAATTAACTCAACATTTATTATAATGTAATGTATTAAATTGATAACAATAAATTTCACGAATCGAACTCATAAGCTAGTTTTCTTTTATTATTCCAATATTTAATTTCAGCTGCTAACGTTGATGAATTCAATAAACAAGCGTGTTTGCATTTTTGAATGGCAGATCGATAACGAAGTTCTCTTTTAGCGTCAAAACGACTCCGAGCAACTTTCTTTTTAAAACTGGTGGGTCCCCATGAAGGATCGGGCGCGATAACACTCGAAGCACCCTTAAAATAATATTTATTAAATCATTTTGGAAGAAAAATTGCAAATTAAAGTACTTACACCAGTTTTATATTTAACAACAACAATAATTGCACCGATTATGGTAGGTAAAGTAACGCTTAAAATCACGACGATATCCACCAATCTCTTTTTTATAGGGGCAAAAGTTAATCTTAAAATGACTATGACCATTATCGAAAGCATCGCGACTTTAATTCCGTGTAACCAAAGTGGGTGAAGTTTTTGTCCGTAAGTAAAATGGTAATCGTTTGCGATTCTATTTAGTGAATATAAAAATATTCCGAGAAGTGTGAAGAATAGTAAAGCTACTTTGACGACGATGCAAGTATTGTGGATCCAAGTTTCGTAAATGCTTTCTAAATTAGTGCGAAGGATTAATAAGTTTAGGAGGAAACAACCCACGCAGAAAACGGAACAGATTAAAATTTTTAATTTGGCCAATTTTGGGTACTCCTCCAAAAGCGACCAAACGAACGAATTTAATGTGTAAAGGCTTCCGGCGAAACACCAAAAAAATATCACAAAGAAATAAATCATAATGGCTAATTTTGCTATGGATAGTGTTGATAAAAGTTCGGGGAATAAACCGAAAAATATTGGGATACCTAAAATAAAAGATTTGTGTTAAACAAGGAAAAATTTGCAGGGGAAAAGAAGCAAAAAATATTCTCTTTTTAACTTTAAGTCATTATAATGTAATTTGATAATTTACTTATGTTGCGACTTAAATGTAGCTATTATTTTAAAATCATTTATTAAATAGGCTAAAACCTTGACAAATAAAATATAATATGGTATAGAAGTAAGGAAAATGTTTGAGATTCCAGAAAGGAAAAATTGTCCAGCATTTAGTCAAACCATCTATAAATCTTGTGATCATCCCTTTAATAGCAAAATAGTAGCTGTAAAAAATGATTAGAAAAAATCCATTCAGCATTAATTATGAATTGAAAAAAAAATTGGATAGATTGGTTGAGGATATAATCATTGAACTAATAAAGGAACTAATAGAGAAACCAATAGAGTGAGTCTGATATCTTCTAACCTCTTCTACCCTCCCAGTCTACTGGGCTTAGGATCCTCGTTGACGTTGTTCTCTGAATTTCGCTTATCCAGATAATCTTTGATATTTCTCAATCCAATCCACTAGAAAGCACGTTTTACAATTTTCCGTTGTGATATTCTCTCAATGTGTTCCTATCTGATTAGCTAGTTTTATTGAGTGTCCTCTATTATTCATTTTTTTCCCTTTTTCTTTCGTTTCTTAGCTCACCTTCGCAAATAATCCATCTCATGTGATGATAGTTTTTGTTCAAGGTTCTTTGTTAACTGCCAAGCTTCACTTTCATTTAAGACGATGCTTTTGAAGGCCGTGGAATAGAATACAATACTGTATTATATCACACTATTGTATAATAATATTATATACAGGGTGTTTCAGGAGGAAAAGGAAATATTTCGAGGACGTATACAGAAGGTTAAAATAATTCAAATAAACCCTTATGTTTAAGTCCGATTCTCAAGTGTTATAGAAATAATCGGTGTAAATAAAAATTAATTTTAAAAATTTTATTTTTCACTTGACCACCAATTAACAAGGATTTAACCATATTTTTTTTTAGGTTTGTGTTGGACAATAAAGAAAGAAAATAATAAATAGAGAATATGCCGACATGATATTTGTTTATGGCTACTGCAATGGTAGTGCAACTCAGGCAGTCAATGAATATCGTCGTCGCTTTCCAGCCAGAAGAATTCCGAATAGGAAAGTTTTCCAAAAAGTATTTGGAAGTGCTGCAGAAACTGGAACATTTCCTAGTGCCAGGATTGTTTCGGAAAGAAGTGCTGGTTTAAATGCTGAAATAGAAGAAGCTGTTTTAAATGTGGTAGAAGAGAGCCCCGATGTAAGCACGACGCGTATTGCTACCCAATTTCAAATTGCACATACATCTGCCTGGAGACAACCATTTTATCTTCAATCTGTTCAAAATCTACATGATGGTGATCATGCCTCAAGATTGCAATTTTGTAATTGGTTATCTGAAAATCGGAGACTGCATAAGTACCTTTTATTTAGCGATGAGGCGCAGTTCACTCGCGATGGAGTTAACAACTGCCACAATGAACATCGATGGCCAGGCGAAAATCCGCATGCCACTTACGAACGAAATTTCCAGAATCGATTTAGTGTCAACGTATGGTGTGGTGTGTTAGGCGATCGATTATTCGGTCCATTTGTATTGGATCAGCGCCGTACTGGAGAAAGGTATTTAGAGTTTTTGGAAGTTCACGTACCAGAAATTTTGGGTGATATACCTTTGAATGTTAGACAAAGATTATACTTCCAACATGATGAAGCCCCTCCACATTTTAATCGAATAGTTAGAAACTTCTTAAATACTGACTTTCCAAATCGTTGGATTGGCCGTGGTGGTAAACACAATTGGCCTGCCCGATCACCTGATGTAAATCCCCTCGATTATTGTCTTTGGGGGTGGATGAAAAGGTTGGTTTATGCGACAAAAGTTCAAATGAGGGACGCACTGAAAGATCGAATTTCTAATACTGCAGCTACTATTCAAAACAATCGTCGTAGCATTCAACATTCTACGCCATCTGTTATTAAACGAGCCAGACTATGCATCGAAGTTGATGGTGGAATTTTTGAAAATAATTGTTAAATCCTTGTTAATTGTTCCTTACTTGAAAAATAAAATGTTTTAAATTAATTTTTATTTGCATCAATTATTTCTATAACAGTTGAGATCGGACTTTAACATAAGAGTTGATTTGAATTATTTTAACCTTCTGAATACGTCCTCGAAATATTTCCCTTTCCTCCTGAAACACCCTGTATAATAGTCTTCTTAAAATTTACTGTAAAACTCCAGATTTCATATTCGCCAAAAAGAATCCTTGACATAAATTCCAGATCCTCCTTATCCTGTGCAATAACTATTTGGTCATAAGCAAAATAATTCCTTGGCATAATCTCCATCTTTTCAGTTTTCGTTTAAATAAATTTGGAACACTGGAATATGAAAGTCCATATAATTTTTTAATTGCACTTATTGCTGTGTTGTTGTTATGCTACTCTCGTATGATCTACAAACAGGAGATGGACATCTCGATTGGTTGCTGTCTTTTGTTTCCTTTTTTATAAATTAAACGTAAACTACTATTACGTAAACTGAACGTAATCCCAGCAAATCTGATACAGAAACATACGCACGTATACAAGCCCAACTAACAAATCTCATTTAGATCTCACACTACCTAAAACAGCGAGATTGGCACCCAACCTCTTTAACCTGGCTCTGGAATACGTAATAAGGAAAATGGATGTGAAAAGATCAGGTCTATTAAAAACGGTGCAACTTTTGTCCATACCTTGAGGTGGAATTACCAAGACTGAGTGCAAAGGAGAAGTCAGAAAGAGATCTATTCTAGTCAATAGAGCATATTCCAAATCGTCTCCTATATTTAGATCAAGAAATGTACACCGAGACACTAAAACACAGTAGTTGTGAATCATGAATTTTGACTTACAATTAGAAGTCAGCAAAAATTGTAAATATTTTGAAAGAAAGATATTAAGGAGAATGAAAATAGCATATGGAGATCAAGATACAGTCATTAATTGTATCGTGTTTATAAGAACCCGTCATTATTGTAGCTCATCAGACTCCAGTGGTTAAGATGGGTTGGTCAAATGATTACAATGGGGAAAAAAGAGAATACTTAAGTGAGTAATCAGTAGAAGGATGCAAAGATTGAAACCGAGGATGAGAGGAGATGAAAATGATCGGAGGCAGAAACTGGAAGAGAGAGGGCAGCGACAGTGAAAATTGGAAATAAAGGTTGAGGGAGGCCAATGCTCGATTGGGACTGTAGAGCTATAGAAAGAAAGAGGAAATAATAGTTAGCTGGTGATTGTGTCAAGTATTGTTGTCTATTTTCATTGAGCTCCTGTGCATAGTGCTGTCGCCATTCTACCAATTTAATTGGATTTAAATCTATCTTGTATCAATCGGTATGTTATTTTATCATTTTCATCCTTCGTGTTCAGCTATTATATTTAGTGTAAATAATCTGCCTAACACATAACGCTTCTCGGCTGCCGAATGCAATATTTCAACTATGTGTTTACACACATTTCTCCGATTACTTTTTTGATAAAGTATGTTGGTGCTCTAATGATCTGGTTCATCTTTTTATTAAAAAGCTACCCAACGCACAATCTGATGCTCTGTATACTCATATGTCTTGGACTCTCCAGATGGCATTTTCTTTTACAATTACGAAATCGATGTAGATTGTAAGCCTCTAGTTTGTTGATTAGCTTATTGTTGATATCTTTGTGTTTATAAAGTCATTTAAAATTATTCGCAAATTAGTCCAGTCAGCCTATTATTTAGTCATCCTCCTGGACGAGCATTAAAATAGCCCATAAGCATGTATTGTGGTTGAACACCGGCTTTCGTAAGTAAATTTTTAAATTGTTCATAAAACTATCAACAATAAACGAGCAAAAAATATCAATGACAGTTGTCCTGTGCGCCCCCCTCAGATTAACTCCCAATCGAGCCATTTGTTTTTTAGTTTTGTTCTGATTAATACTCTCCTCCCTTACTTGCTCTATTGATTTTAGGGACTCCACTATAAATATGGATAAATTCTCCTACATATTTGATACCAATTTACTCTTCTTCCATTCCATAACAGCAGCCATATCGATTTTTCCCGGTTTCATAATTTTCTCGACATCTCTAAGTCCTTAAATGTTTCATGCTCGAAGAATCGTTTTCTTATGCCGATACAGTTATAGTTTTAAAATACTAAAACCAATCAAAGTTCTGGGACTGATTATTGAGATTTTTCGCTGGCTGCTTTATTACCTTGGTCTGAGAGGACCAAGTCATTTTTACAGGGTGCTACCATCCGAGAGAGATGTACCACGGGTTGGGTACTAAGCCTCGCTAGAGGCTTAGGCTGGATAGTATTTAGTAAAAAAAAGAAATGGAAGCTTGAAATTATGTATTAATACTTCAAGATTTAAACACAGCAATATTGAAAGTCATGTGTAATTACGAACTTTGAAGAATTGCAAAAAAAAGTACATTGTGTCAGGATCCTCACAAACCTGGAAATTCAGGATATTAGTTCCTAGCTATAGATATATCGTATATCCAGTTGAAATTGTATACTTGATATACCTTGTATATCAATGTGAAAAACATAAGACTTTCATAAATGACCAAAGATTGAAATGGATAAAGACTATGGATTCGCAAATCGTGTATATGTACATTGAGGCTTAGATTTGTGTACAAAATGAATACATTTCTGCTTTAACACGACTCCTTTTATGTTTTGATTTCTCATTTTTCTATTGCTTTTATTCCATGTACCTCATTGTCATCGCCTTTGGATTCCTCATCTTGTTCATTCGCCCTTTATTTCTTGCATATCGTTGCAAAATGATTCACTTTTTCACAATGCTGGACAATTTTTATGCTTTTTCTGCAACTATGTTTACTCAACTACCTTTATGTTATCAACAAAACCACAACTTATTGCTTATGTAATAAGTTACTTAATTTACACACTACTATAAAATCAAATGT